CCTCTTACAATTCCCAAGGTTGTGCCATACAAAGAACCCCGAATACCTTTCTACATCCCCCCATTGATAGATGATTTTCCTATGATAGATATATATATATATATATATTTATTTATATATATATATTATGTACCCATGGAGAAGAAATCACAAAAAAAAAGGCTTAAAATATCTTAAAATCGATGTTCATAAAAAAACCTCTCCGAATAAAAAAAAAAAACAGACCTTTCTTCATATGCCCATTACCTAAACCCACGAACATCCCAAGGCTTTCTGCTATAGCAACCCCCCAAAAAGAGGCCGAAAAGTGTGAAACTTTATAAGGGTAGTTCGATGATGTTTTCCCCATTTTCACCAGGCTTCCAAGGTAGTTTCAGCACATGGCTAGGGGTTGCCAGGTTGCCGGGTTGCCCCTCCCCAGCCCCTCCGGCCTTCTGCTTTGATGGGAACACTAGCTTGACCCACTGAGGAGACATGGCAAACCTGGCCAAGGCAAAAGCCTGGCTGAAATCATCGGTCTTGTTGGATGGAGTTCTATAGTTTTTACATAAGGTTTAAGATGGATAAGATTGATCAGATGTCCAAAGAACTCATGAGATACTTTCCGGTGTCATCAAAGGTGGCAATTGACAATCCACCGGTTATAGATGTTTTTTTCTCTTGAAACCTCCTATTTCCGTTGCCACGTTTGATTACCAAAGGGTAGTTCAATATGAAATTGCGTTCATGTACCAATATGAAATTCACCCAGAAGATCCAATACAAAACAACATGGGCCCAGAGAGTGGGTGAAACGTAGCAAAACCCCAGTAAAACCGGTAGACTGATTGAAGGAAGACCGACAGGAAACATCAGGAAACCATGTGTTTTCTCACCCTCCCTGAAAAGAGAAATTGGATGAAGGAGTTACCCTCTGGTAATTTAACATAACTATAGAAAATCACCATTTATAGTGGATTTTCCCATTTAAGATGGTGGATCTTTCCATCGTTTTTTGTATGTTTACCAGGCCGGGTAACAAAAAAAGCATCCCAGGTCGCGATCAGATCAAAAACCAAAAACCCACCAGTGTAGCTGCGTCTCCAATGAGAAATCCTGTGAACAGCACTTTGTTATGGGGAAAATGATCGTACCACCAACCATGACCATGAAAATCATCACAAAAATCACTGGGTTGATTATCCCTTATGATAGATAGATAGATAGATAGATAGATATATAGATATATATATATATATACATAGTAGCATCTAAAGGGTGATATAGATCTATCTATATGATTATCTATCTATAAATCACTGGGCTGATATTCTTTCCCTTATGATTATCCCTACATCTATGGTTCATTCCTCCGTTTTTTTCCCCCATTTGTTGGACAAAATTTGTACCACATCAACCAGCCAAAACGGCCCAACTTTCAACGCCTGGCGCTTTTCTTTGACCTTCTCCAAGATCCCATTCTCAATGGCATCCAGGTCGCTGCGCTGAAACCTCAGGATCCAAGCTGATTCAAGGTGACCCAAGGTGAAGGCCATGGGCTTGGGCCTGAGGGGTTCAACTTTATTGATATTTGAAGTTCCTATTAATCATTAAACACTCTTGATCAATGTTTGAAAAGGAGCATTTGAAGTTCGAAGTTCTTAATCAGCTTAGTCAATGTTTTTTGGCGTGTCGAGACCTAGAATATGAGCTATATTGCGCTGTGATCCAACCTGTTTCTGCACAGCCACAAAGGTCACATGGAATTCACCAGTTGCTCAGTGCCTTCAAAAAAAAGGCCGACATTTACACCGATTTACACCATGTACCATCTGGTTACGGTTATTTAACATATATAGCCATGGAAAATCACCATTTTTAAGAACGGTAAACCATCTATTTCGATTAGGGCCATGGCTTAACCATCGCTATGTTAGTCATAACCAGATGGTAAAACCCTCAGGTTTTTACAACCGCGAGATTCACCGTTAGAAATAGGATCTTAGCCCATCTGAGCCCTGCAAATCCCTGTTTTCTGGCGGGTCCAAGATGGTCCAGATGGTCGCCGCTGCACCGATCTGTGGGGCTGGATTCGCCAATCATCACTGGATTCTCGGTTTTCAACAGCGTTTTTTTGTGATTTTCACATGGTAAAAACATGGTAAAAACAGAGCAGGCACATCAGATTCTGAAACTTCAGGAATTTCAGTGTAAAGGAACTCTGATAGAACCGTTTTGAAAGGGGGGTTCCCTTTTTCAAAATGTTTCTTTAGTGGCTATTCAGATCTGTTCGACATCCTCTAGGTGTGTTGAAGAAAGAACGCCCGAGGATCAGTCAGCTCATCGAAGCTTGCTACAAAGGAGTTCAACGAGAATCCCAAAATGTTCAAACAAACCATAACTATAGGGAAACCTCTAAACATGTAAAATGATAATGAAACCATATGAAACCACTGTTTTCTAGGAAACCATCTGCTTTTTTCCAATTTCCACAGAGCGGAAGTAGTGGCATGACGATTCTGAAACGTCAGACTATGGTTGGGTGAAACTGAATTGGTCACAAAGGGGATTGCAACGGCCCGCCAGGTTGAAACACTCCAAAATATGGCTTAATGACTTATATAACTATCATTCAATGGGGTTTAACATGGTATAACATGGTTTAGCTAACTATAGTGGGTTTATCATCTGACTGCTTTTATTTTGCAGTTAGTCGGTTCAATGATTTGTTCGAAGTGACAAAAAAGTACTCCAATCATCGGAACAGTTCCAACTGTCACTAGCACTAGCTGCACAAGCGATAACATGTTACAACAATAAAAGTTCCACAGGTGTTTCAATGGTCCTTCCATATGTGCCAGGGTCTAAACGTGTAAAAAACGCTTCACCAGGGCTTACCATCATCCACAATGCGAATCCAAGCTTAAATCGGCATAGAAGTAAGTTTGTAAGATTTCACATTTATATATATATATACACTTATTTATTTATATATATATTTATTTATTTATTTATTGTTAAATGATTAAATCCCCATGAATAACATGATTCCCATCGGACTGGAGATGGAACCCAGTCCTATCTCCAACATTTGAAGCTCATCTCCATCCTGTGACCGAAACTGGTGGCGAAACAGCACCGCTGTGGGAGCCGGTCTTCTTGGTACATTGGCCATCCTATGGTGTCGGGCATGGCGGCCTTCAGGCGAACCCAAATCAGTGACCCAGTGAGGTAGAAAAGTCAGCTAGAAAACTCCTGATTTTTTTTGGGAAAACCCCCGGTTCTCATCCATTTGTTCGGATGTTCGGATTTTCCATGAAATAAACCTTCCATTTTTGGGGAAAATGATGGTGATTATGGCAGAAAAAATCTTCGTCCCCCTCAGGTTGGCGCCGTGATGCTTCGCTGATGGGTATGATTGAGTAGACCATCAGATCCATCATGTAATTCGAAAAAAAAACAAACAGCTGCTAAAAATATTCGTTGTAGCATGAACCTTGTTGATGGATTTGATAAAAACATATCAAAACTGGAAAAGGCAGTCCTGGGTAACATGAGCAAGGCTTCAAAGATCACTACTTGGTCATTTTGTACACGTCGGCGAAGTCCATCTTACATCATTTTACGCTGTGAAGACCAAAGCATACCAGCCATATCTATCCATATCTAAATTAGAGGATTTTGGAGGATTTCTGAACGCTCTGGAGCTGCCATCGTTAAACAATGAACAGAAGTATCAAAAACTTCCATACCAAACCCCAACTCATTCTGCCACCTTCAGCCCGCCATTTGCTCCTTTCAGAACGGAGCGATTCTTCAGCTGTGAGCGACGAAGCATTTTCAGTTCACGCTGAGTGCTGGCTGCTTGTCAGCTGCGCAAGTTCCGCAAAGAGGGCTTTAAATACTCCCATCCTCCAAACCTTTCACCGGCAATTCAAGAATGGCAAATTTAGTAACTTTTTCGGGGAGCTGCTGGCTTAGTCAGTAAGCAATGCCAAACTTCAGATTCTTTAGATGTCCTGCACTTTGTTCAAAACACCAAGACCAAAACAATGGTCTTACCCTCACTGCTTCTGCTAAGTCCCAGCCTCAGCAACTGAGCGATTTTTTTTGTCTCTTAACCACCGTGAAAATGATGATGGATCGAGACAAGTGGATCAAATCTTATATATCTCATATAATTATTAAACAAATATTAAACCATCCACAAGTTGGGGCTTTACTTTTTTTTTTGCATACCCTCCGGTAAACTAACATAACTATGGAAAATCACCATTTTCAATGGGAAAATCCACGAACTAAATGGTCATGGCTTCAATAGCTATGTTAGTCATTACCAGAGGGTATATGGTTTCTATGGTTTACCCGTTTACCTCCGGGTGTTTTTCACCCAAAAATCCACTCAAAATTTCCACCCAAATCGGCCAACATTTCCAAGGCATCGACTTGGTCCTTCTCTTGGAAGAAGGCCAAGGCGCGTTGATAAGCACCGCGAACGATGCGGAACCTCGATCTGTACATATCTGTACGAAGCTCATAGGGGGTTACGTTGTGTTATAGTTTATAAGACCCTAAGTATATTATAAATAGCTATAACAAATAACCATATATATATATATATGTAATGTTAGTTTATAGATACTACAGTTTATAACATGTAATTCACTAATGTCAGGAGCCTAAAATGGATTAAAATGGAGGGTATTCTACCATATGTTTGCCCATCTGGTGGGGATCCCTGATATCCAGGCCGAAAAAAAATGGATCCAATACCTCCAAAACTGGGCTTCACCTGCTCCGAAAAACAACCTGAGGCTGCGGTTTACGATAACTAAGTTGATCATAACTTGGTTAAGTGGATTTTATGGCTTTCAAAACTGTAGTTCATGGGTTTATAAACCACTGGGGGGGCCTAACCTTCAAAATATTGCATTTCAGAGGTGACCCACAGCCCATCTCAACCAAGCTGCGTCTCGTTGCAACTTTCGAGTCCTTTGTCTGGATGATGCAACAAAGCTAAATCACGAAAGGCTTGCCTCGGTGCCCACAGCCAGTCACTATCATTCCCCAGGTGTCATTGATCGTTCTTTCAGTTCTATCATGTAAAATCACACATTTTGTTGTTTCTCACAATGAGGTAGTCACTATTGTATATACCACAAAAAATGAAGAGTATATGATTCCATATGATTCCATTTTTAATGCAGTATCCATTCTCCAAATTAAAGTACATACAATAGATGAATCAACCATGAACATAGTTAATTAATAGTTATAACATGTTATAACATCACCAAGCATACTATAACATAGTTCATTCACCATGAACATCCATCAACTAACTATTGTAACCACTAATGATCCAATGATCCGAATCACGATTCCAAGCTGCTTCACCTCTTAGATATGAACTAACTATCTCCAGTAAGATAATCATCCGATTAATCAAACATGGATTCCGAATCTGGATTCTTCACCAAGCTGTTTCACTATTAAGTATAATTATCTATATATACTATACACTAGATATTGATATTTCATACATTAGTCATCCATAGATTCTTCTTCACCAAGCTGCTTCACCTCCATTATGAATAACATGTCCAATACTAAGATAATGATCCCATTAGTATCCTATTCATATTCCAACTATTCATCCCAATAGTCGACCATTGGAGATATCATCCATTAGTGAGAAATCTATAATCACCCATAGATTGCCATAGATTCATCAACAACAGATTCCAACACGATTCTTCTTCTCAACCACCGAGCTGTTTCACCTCTTGTAACGTCGCCTCCTTCGCCACGTTCAGCACCTGATGCCAGGCCCAGCCCGTTGCCTCGATGCGGCGCTTGGACTCCTCCGCCAGGCCCTGCAGGTGCCTTGGCCGACGGCGAAGCGAAACATATGAAAGTCAGTTGGGAGGGACTATTCCCATATATGAAATGGAAAAATAAAACATGTTTGAAACCACCAACCAGATACCCTTTGGTAATTTAACATAGCTATTGAAAATGGCCATTTATAGTTGATTTTCCCCTTAAAAATGGTGATTTTCTACAGCTATGTTAAATTACCAGAGGGTAACCTTTCAGTCACCCTAATTTTGTTGGAAAAAACATGGCTAGATTCACCCTGCCGTTGGCGATGCCAAGCAGCTCGTGACGCTTCCGGCGACGTTCCGCCTCCGCCAGGCGCGGGTGCAAATTTGGTGCCCCCAAAAATCCAATGGTTATCTACGGTTGATAGATGGTTTATCCCATTATTTATGGGGTTTTAACCATCCAAGGTGGTGCAGGATTTCTTCCATCCACAGTATGGAAAAAAAAACAGAAAAAGTAATTAGTGATTTCACGGTTGTTATTTCAGAATACCCTCTGGCAGAGGGTATGCGGTATAGATCGGTATAGCCATGTATCAGCCCACTGTGGCCCACACACAATCAAAAATATCAAAAACAGGAACCTCCGCTGCCGTTTTTTGACCAAAACTGCCGTGGCAAATAGGTGACTTGGATGACGCACATCGCTATGTACAAGTGTAAGAAAAGGGTATGTGAACCCCTCTGGAATTTTCCTAGCTCAAGAGATTACAAAAAGTGTCTACTGATGTCTACTGAAGTAGACTTGGCAACATTGAACATTTTTGGCCCTCACTACATCTTTGGCCACATCAAAATCATCAGATATCAGATCAATCAGATACCCTCTGGTTATTTAACGTAGCTATAGGAAATCACCACTTTTAATGGGAAAATCCACTATAAATGGCCATTTTCAATAGCTATGTTAAATTACCAGAGGCCAGAGGGTATCAGATCTCTCTTTTCTTCCGCCCCTTGACCTTGGATCCTGTGGATCCTTTGGATCCGGATAGGGGCTCTGGAGGCTCTTCCTTCAGATGACTTTCCTTGGTGATGATCCTCTTCCCATTCGACAGCTGGACGGTGGCCATGACCCCCACGGTCTTCAGCGGATCCGAGGGCAACACAAAGACCTGCACGTCCCGTCGTGGGAGGCGCGATGGATGGCGAAATGGATGGGAGGGGGCCAAAACCCCACTGGTGACCTAGGGTTGACAATAGTTAAGTTGGTTAACTCCAATAACTGTGGTTTATGGTACTTATAACTATAGTTAATGGGGTTATAAACCAATTTATAACTGGGGGGCACCACATTGTAGATGGTTTATCTCATTATTTATAGGGTTTTTACCGTCCAAGGTGGCTTACCTATTGTCAATGGATTGGTTTTGTTGGGGAAATTTTACTGGAAAACCCCAACATTACTTTCATGGGAAAAACGACGGTGTCCGGTTCCGATTTTCCCGTAAACCAATCCATTGAATTTTTTGGGGGATGACAAAAAAAAAGCGATTGATGGATGTGAAAATCTGGGAATCATCGCATGTGTGAAAAATAAAGGTGTTGAATGGTTTTGACTCTTTGACCCATGTGAAGACAGGAACGATGATGGGGATGTTAGCTGCAATATACAGCAAGAATCTCCAGCAAGAGTGAGGTATCCAGCATGGTGTTTTGCATGGTGTTTTGCCGAAGAAAGTTATCTGGTTTGTGATTGAGCCACCCCTCTGAAAAATATGAAAGTCAGTTGGGATCATTATTCCCAACATATGGACAAATCGAAAATGTTCCAAACCACCAACCAGCTTAATTTAGCTGCAAAACATGAATTTCAACATATTTCAACAGGACACAAAACCAGAAACAATCAGATGTGGCATACCCAAGGAAGTCCACCTCCCTCCACCGTCCAAGACTGGAGGTATACTGGAGGTTTCTCACTGGGTCTACCATTAAAGTCATTAAAGCAAAGTCGGAAGAGACATTCAGAAACCAACATGGAAACGTTCTGTGTTTTGGATGCATTTGGTACTTGGCTCACTTGGGTCAAGAACAACATCAAGGCAGCCATCCCGGCCATCCCAACATCGACAAACCAATCCCACCATATCCCACCTGTTGACCGTGGTATTCAGGCTTTTGCTTCATGTGCAACCAAACCTGCCAGGGCAAACAATGAGATGTTTTGTCAATCTAGATTCAGAATAAATCACAGGTCACTAAATTTAGATGGATTTTAACCTGCCATTTGTGTCGCAAATATCCATCCAATCGATCCAAAAGGGCTCGATTGAAACTGCAGCTATGAAGACCTCCGAATGTGGCAAAGCTGCCAGAAACCAACCATTTAGGGTGGACAGTTCATTACATTAATAGCCATGCACCGATTGATCGATTGATTGGAGGTACCTACCATATCTGGTTAGTGGTTTCAACCCCTCTGAAAAATATGAAAGTCAATGGAAAGGATTATCCGATATATTGGCAACCAGATATATTTTTGGCCTAGTTGAAGGCCTAAATTTCAGGGAATATCCAACAAAAGATGGCCAAAAATATGGTACTAACGTACCTCCATTTTGGAATCCTTAATTTCCCATTGATTATATATTGGCATCACCGGTTTACCACATGAATGATTTCGAGTTTGCCATTCCAAGTCATCTGAAACTTTGAAAAAAAAAACATGCCCAGTGGACTCAGTTTCGGGAACTCGAAACAATTCCCTGGATGTGATATCCCACTCAGTTTCTGTGGTTTATACATCTTTGTATATCTGTGTCATCCATATAACTAATATATATATAACTATAACATACTATAACCAATATTTCATCCCATTTTGTCCAGTGGTGATATAGAAACCTGGTTGGTGGTTTTAACCATCTCGAAAAATAATGGAAAGGATTATCCCATATATGAAATGGAAAATAAAAATTCATGTTTGAAACCACCAACCAGGAAAATTATAACTATATATAACTAGAACATAACCCAATAGTTCATCCCTAATTTTATCCTGGTGGGGATATATATATATAGAAAATCTATCTGGGGTCTATCAGTCTATCCCCCATATCTGCCTTCTGTCCGATCTGAAACTTGGACTCCGCAGTCATCTTCGGCCGGATGCAGCGCAGGGGAGGCAAATCCGTGAGATCCTCGTCGTCCTCGTCCTCACCCGCGCTGGTTTGATATACCCGAAAAACCCAATGAAAATCATGGAATTCCAACTGGGTGAACTGAGAATTTCATGGGTTTGGTAACATCATGAATTTTCACACTCTTTCATGATTTTCAAGGATATTCATTGGTAGATGATTTCTATATATCAACATCTGGAACTTCCCCATTGCTGTGTGGAATTTTCCGGAAGGTACATCTGGGGGAAGTTGAAGACTACCAGGCTGGACGGCGCGGAATTTATGATGAAGGTCCTTTGGCATTTTCGCAGCGGTGCTTATGGCCTTCAACAATGATAAACCACACATGATGCAATCATTATCTGGTTGGTGGTTGAGTCACAACTCTGAAAAATATGAGTTCGTCAGTTGGGATGATTCTTCCCTATATATGGAAAAACTAAAAAATGTCCGAACCACCAACCAGTTATAGTATTGTGTCCAGAAATCCGTTGGATAAAAAAACTTGGAATGTTTCAACATGTCTCGACTTCAAAACGCCCCCACAAACCAACAAAATCATTGAAAAAACATTGAAAAAACTCTGAAAACATCAAGAAAAACATGATGATTTTCGACTTTCCCTAGAAATTTCCAGATGTTCCTCCCATTTCATCCCCCATCCCATCCCCTTCGCCACCAAACGCCCGCGCCTCCGTTTCCGAGAGCTCCACCATGACCCGCAGCTTGTCCCGGCGCAGCGACATCTGCCGCCCGGAGCGCAGCAGTTCCACCGTGACGCGGCCGGGAGCCGACTCGATCTCGGTGACCAGGGCGCGCTGGCCGTTGTACTCCACCGCCTGGCGACGATCTGGGGCACATTTATAGGTGGCGGGGTGAGGCGAAAGGGGTCTTCAACAAGTAGAAAAATATGTGATGTTGTTTTTTTTAAGGACCACAGGATCATGAAAATAGTAGGTTTATATATGTTTATCTGGTAAAGTCACAGCCATAAACCTACCATTTGGGGATATTTGGGGAGGGTTTCAAGATGTTCAATCGAACCCATTTATGGGGATTTTGGGGCTGTTTAATTATGATTGGCTTTTCCACACTAATGGGGATATGATATGATATGATGGCAAACTCTTTGCGAACTGGAACATCTCAATGTAAAAAACATGCAAATCAGTGATAGACGGGGATAGACGGGTCATTTTGCATAGCAAACTGTTTACTGGAGGGTACTGTCTGGGGTAACTGTTGGGATTGGCCAACTAATTGGATGCTTGGGATTTTTTGATTGTTGGGAAAGTTGAATTAAGATATCACAATTAGCCACGTAGGAAGTCGTAGGAAGTGAGTCATGAATCAGCTGGTAACTGAGATATCTAGTGATTGGTCATGAATTATGGAAGATTGCATATCTATAGAGATGCATCTTGATTCATTTATATAGTAACTTAGTAGATGAATCCGAAGATCTTATCTACACAAAAGTGCACTCATTCATTTCTATATTCATTAGACAGTTTAGATCCATCCATCTTTGATGGCTCACACCTAAATCCCAAAAATGGAGAAAACCCCACAGGTCACCCACTGAAAATCCCACGAAAGACCTGCGAAAACACACCTCAAATCATCCTTAAACCCAGATCAAATCCATATATCGCATATACCCTCTAGTAAACGTTTACATAGCTATTGAACATGACCCTTTATAGTTGATTTACCCACTAAAAATGGTGATTACCCTCTGGCAAATTAACATAGCTATTGAAAATTGCCATTTATAGTGGATTTACCCATTAAAAATAGTGATTTTCCATAGCTATGTTAGTTTACCAGAGGGTAACCCCTAGTTTTTTCTATGTTCAGAGGCTTTTTAGACCCCAATTTTCTTCCCAACGAACCCGGCCTTGGTCAAGCCTTGCACCACGACCTCATCGCCCCTCCGCAAGGGCCGCGGCTCGGAGCGCGAGCGCGGCGCGCGCGAGGAGCGCTGGGAGCGCTCCTGCTGCGCGGCCACGGAGCGGACGTTGGAGCGTTTCACTGAGAGCATCTTTCCTGGGAAGGGGAAGTCGTGGGATGATCAATATTTAATATTTGGTATTTAATATTTGGTTAACATCAATATTTGGTTATCAATATTATTTGATATTTGGTTAACATGATTCTATGATTGTGTGTATGTGTTATCATCATCATTCGTGGGATATGGTTTTTTCCACCATCCCCAATCTTTTTGATTTTTTTCAGGGATTGAAACCATGCAGCTTCTATGACAATGATAATAATTATCATCATATATATATATACACAAGATGGGGCCCCCAAGATAGCTAAGTTATGCTGGTTTGTAAATGGTTTAAACTAGATGGTTTAATTATGGTAGATATTTCACGAACTAGTTAGTTCATTTTGGGATTATCATGGTTTTTGTTAACCAACGTTCACTTATAACTGGGGGGGCCCCATCCTGTCTAATAACTGCCTTCTAAGGTCGAAGCCAGAGGAAAAACACCTCTGGAAAGTACTAGGGAAGCGGGAATGGGTCCCATGGGGGTCCCAAGGGATGATTCATCAGACGATCTGTCTATATATAAATATAGAGAGAGAGACGTCTAGAAGTATAGTTCAATTGATGTTTTTAAAAGTCCTTTTTGAAGTATAGGATCCTATCAAGAACATAGGGTGATCTAGAATCTAGAAAAACTGGAATTGAAGTTATCAGAAATCATGAAGCAAAATGCTTAATGATTGAAGTCATCTGACCCTAGGGATTCTCAAAAAAACTGTGAGTATTTGATCATGTGTTCTTAAAAACATGTAGAAGTTAAAAAGGTGGGATGATATGAAAACCATTGAAAACCAAATGTGAAGTCGGTAAAAATCCCATCCATAATTTGTTCGACATCCCAATCATATCCCAATTCTATGTCCATATTTTAATTGTTGAAAAACCGATTAAGTCACCATGAATTTGGATCTTTGGACATGTTTTGAGGGAACCTTAACGGGAAAACCTGGTATTTCTTGTTAAAACAAAATTATCCTGTAGGTTTCCCCTTAAACAAATCGATCGATTTTTACTTTGATATCATTTTTTTTTCGCAATTACTAGTTATATACTAGCTGTTAAAATCCTCATAAACCACTCATAAAATCTGAGATTCCCCTTGAGGAAAACTGGAACACCCTATTTTTTAGGTGTAAAAAACCTATGTTTGCGAAGGTTTTCCCAAGAAGACCGGTCCATTCTCGTTGAATTGTAGCAATTCATTTGCCTGAAAATAGCTACCATCTGGTAAATTAACATAGACCCTGAAAATCACCAGTTTTTAGTGGAAACTAATCTTTCAACCCTGATGACTGCCAGGGTCTATGTTTATTTACTGGAGGCTAATGGAATATAACAATTCACTAACCTGCAAAACAATAAGTACCCTCTGGTAAACTAACATAACTATGGAAAATCACCATTTTTGATGGGAAAATCCCCTATAAATGGCAATTTTCAATAGCTACGTTAAATTACCAGAGGGTATAAAATAAAATGCGGCCGTTTTGGGGATGATTCCGCATATAAAAATCATCATTCCAATGTATTCCGATAACGTCACGACGTGGTCATGATCAAACTCGTCCAGAACTTCGAGCCATTATTTGCCATCATTTACTGTATTTACCATAGTTTAATCATAGTTCAACCATATTTTAACAATAGTTTATCCATGGTTTATCCATAGTTCAACCATAGTTTAACCATAGTTCAACCATATGTTAACCATAGTTTAACCATAGTTCAACCATATTTTAACAATAGTTTATCCATGGTTTATCCATAGTTTATCCATAGTTGACTACTATGAAGCATCATTAATTCACCGTAATTCATCCAGAACTATGGTGATCCGTTTGGCTACTTTTAGCAAATGCCAGGTGTCCGGTGCTAAGCATCTTGACCTGCGAATTGGAGAGGATCAGCTGGGGTCCGGGAAAAATCCAGGGCGAGAAACTGTATTGAACTAAGGATTCCGTAGGATTTCATGGAATTTATGAAGGTTCAAGCGGGTTGAAAGGTTTTTGTCGGAGTTTCATGGGATTTTGATTGGATTTAAAGGAATCCAATGGAGTTTCATGAGGTTTAATAGGATTTAATGGGATTTATATGGCCTTGATGAACTTTGATGGGTTAACTGGGGTCTAAGTGGATTTCATCGGGTTAAGTATGGTTGAGTGGATGTCATGGAATTTACATGCATTTGAGGGGTTTTAATGGGATTAATGTCATTTAAGACATCAAATTATATATGATAATTACTTCCTGAAAGATATATTATCAACTTGAAATTCTAGTTCTTGCATTACTTACTAGGGTGCTAAGCAACAAGAATGGAGGTATCAAATATTCTTGTGGGATAGAATTTGGATATTTTGGAAAAAGTGGTAATTACTGGTATTCCCGCCAATTCATGACCATTTTTATGCGGAAAATGATGCTTGTCAAATGGATTCAGAGGCAACCCACCAGACAAACCCATATTCTCAAGGCTTTGGAAGATACTGTAAGTTTGGAGCCACAAAGCCTTTTTGTTGACCACTGACTTTTTTTGTTCGAAATATGCTTGGGACCATAAATTGGGGTGCTCAATATTGGAATAACATGGAGATGGATTTCTTAGTGTAATTTGGACCACTGATCAAAACATGCTTGGAAAGAACATGAGATGATTTCAGTCTCAGGATCGTACTGCTTCCAATGAACTCGCAATCCCAACATCTGCCCTCTCAACCGGCCTTTATGCTCAGATCGCATTGGAATGTACATCTATCCGACTCCATGTTATTCCAATATAATCCCATCCCTTTCATATTGAACACCCCATAAATGGTCCCAATTATGTGGAACTTCCCCACTAAACCATGGTTCTAACATGTTCTAACAGAGTGTTTAATATTAGGGGGAAGAGGTTATTTTGGGGAGATCAGAATTTGCAAATTTCAATGGAAAGAGCCTTCTCCCTTCCAGGGTCCAGGGTCGATTTGGTATGATTTGATAGGGGATGGTAACAGGTCCAGTTTTGACCTTTTGGTAATTTAAGAGTCTGCTATGGAAAATGGCCCATGTAGTTCGAAGATATTCGATGATTTACTCTAATTACACCCAAAAAAACAAACAAACACGATTTTCCCATTTGCAACCTCTAACTTCAATGATTTTTTTTCGCAAAGTGCCCCCCAAACTTCGGAAAATCAGCGAACTGTTCAGCTCCCATAAGGCTTCCCGTAAGGCGTCTCGGTACCTCGACGCGTTCCTCCTTGTGTCCTGGAACGAGTCGTAGGATGTAGCCCTGCTCTCCGTTGAGGTCCGTCATCCGGAGATCCACCAGCTGCACCAAGTCTCCAGGACCCAAAACTTCCACGTTCTCCTGGAGAAAACTTGGCCATGGCCCACGCCACGGCACCAAAAAAAGATGGGCCTCAACTAGGAGGAAGAGGTGAATGTATACATTATATACATATTACATATACACAGACATATATATATATTCTATATATATATATATAAATGAGTATGTTATATTATATATATATATGTATGTGTATGTGTGCGTGATTTGGTGACTTAGCATCCCAATATTGACATTATCATGCGTTTGTTTAAGATGTGTTTGTTTGAAAATCGGGTGCCAGCAATCCTGCTCGGACTTCGGTATGAACTCCAGGGGAGGCAAGGAATCACCCGACTCACCTTGCTCGGCGGAGTGTCCCAGCATGCGCGTTGGCGACCCTTTGATAATTTCAGAATGTGCTATGGAAAATTGCCCATTTATATAGATTGTTTAACTATTTGCCTCTTAAAATGATGAGTTTCCATAATTATTTGCCTATTTGCCAAAGGTTAGAAGGTAATATGTTGGAAAAACTCCAGGCGTTGAGGTTATGTTTATTTAATGGCTATATATATATATAGTTATATATATATATGGCTATTGAATGTTTAATGTGGGTAAAACAATGTCATGTTTACCACCCATGACTGGGAATGGTCTCCAAACCGCCTATAAAAATGCTGATGACTGGGGGGATGGTAAACATGACAGCCAGTTTTAGCCACATCACTCATCTTTTCAGGGTGTAAACTGTGTAAACAAAAGATGTTTATCATTGTTTATCTACCCTCTGGTAATTTAACATAGCTATTGAAAATTGCCATTTATAGTGGATTTACCCATTGAAAATTGTGATTTTCCATAATTATGCTAACCCCCCCCCGTTGCCCATGTTTTCTTCAGCTGTAGGCATCTGAGCACCAAAAATCAGGTTTGCCAAACTCTCAACTGGGCCAGGGTTCCAGCTCTCTGGTACACAGATTTTTTTGGTGCCAGACAAAATGCCAACTGGTTGGTGGTGTTTTTACCATCTTGAAACATATTATCATATTAATGGGAAGGATGACATCCCATATATGAAATGGAAAATAGAAAATGTTTGAAACCACCAACCAGGTAGAAAATATGTCAGATGAAAGATGATGGAAGTCAGAATGTATGTCCGAATATATGTCAGATAGAATGCCAGATAGCATGCCAGGATATATGCCACGGTGGTGATCACACGAAATACAATAATTTTCGGATTCCTGTTGGCTTTGTCTTTGCAACATTTGGGAGCTGCAACCTTGCATGTGGCTTGGTATTTGAACGATTTTGGAGCTCGAACTTGACAAATGCCGTACGGGGGTCCACCATGTTCTTCTCATGTTGTGTGGTATTTGCAGTATTTGGAAGCTAGAGCGTTGAATTTTGCATGGTATTTGCAGCACTTAGGGGCTAGCGGATGCTAGCGGCTGTAACCTTGCATTTGGCAGGGTACTTGCACGATTTTGAAGCTAGAACTTGCCAAATTAAATGGGGATTCAGCAAAAGACCGTGTCAGCAAAACATATCATACCGCCCTTAAGCCCAATAGCTGTTGGAATCTGCGCCGTCACCTTGCGCTTCGGCACCTGTCAAGTTGCCGGTGGAACATCTGCAAAAATACGGATCCTACCCTGCAGTCCTGCCTACTTTGGAACCTGCCTACGTGCGCATCAACCCCAGCCCCGCCTTGCAAATCGCTGACTTGAACGTCTGGCACAGTGGGTGCTTCGGCTACGTCTGGCACAGTGGGTGCTTCAGCTACGTCTGGCACAGTGGGCGCTTCAGCTACATCTGTCTCCAACATCTCTGACAGGTTGACGGCGTCCAAGGGAGGCCAAGATTCATCAGATCCACCTCGTTTCAGCTGGCAAAATCGGCTACGGCGAATAGACTACAGCCATGGCATGCCATGGTGGAGGTACAGGTTGTAGTTCGTATGTTTTATCAGATGGGTGCTGGTTGCAAATCAGTTTCCCATCCACTTGACATGTTTTTTACAAATCTGAGACGGAACAACAATATGTTCATAAAGTCGGCCATCAATCACAACATGTCACAACTCAATGCCATTCAAACAAGAATTTGTTAGGCACATTTAGGCACCTATCCCCTGGCTTCCATTCTATTAGCCCTATGAAGCCATTGCCTTCAGGCACACCCTGCGGGTCACCAAAAGCTGAGAAAATATGTGAAGTCATGGGCTGAGCAGGCTCCATACATCTCCATACCGTACCCATTGCAAAAATTTAGACCGGATTAACTCTTAGAGGCTTTAGGGCTTCAGCAATGTCCAGAACATCCGCAAACTATGTCAGCAAAACATATCATACTGCCCTTAAGCCCAATAGCTGTTGGAATCTGCGCCGTCCTCTTGCGCTTCGGCACCTGTCAAGTTGCCAGTGGAAAATCTGCAAAAATACGGATCCTACCCTGCAGTCCTGCCTACTTTGGAACCTGCCTACGTGTGCATCAACCCCAGCCCGGCCTTGCAAATCGCTGACTTGAACGTCTGGCACAGTGGGTGCTTCGGCTACGTCTGGCACAGTGGGCGCTTCAGCTACATCTGTCTCCAACATCTCTGACAGGTTGACGGCGTCCAAGGGAGGCCAAGATTCATCAGAGTCACCTCGTTTCAGCTGGCAGAATCGACTACGGCGAATAGACTACAGCCATGGCATGCCGTGGTGGAGGTACAGGTTGTAGGTCGTCTGTTTTATCAGATGGGTGCTGGTTGCAAGTCAGTTTCCCATCCACTTGACATTTTTTTTACAAATCTGAGACGGAACAACAATATGTTCATAAAGTCGGCCATCGATCACAACATGTCACGACTCAATACTACTCAATGCCATTCAAACAAGAATTTGTTAGGCACCTATCCCCTGGCTTCCATTCTATTAGCCCTATGAAGCCATTGCCTTCAGGCACATGCGGGTCACCAAAAGTTGAGAAAATATGTGAAGTCATGGGCTGAGCAGGCTCCATACATCTCCATACCGTACCCATTGCAAAAATTTAGACCGGATTAACTCTTAGAGGCTTTAGGGCTCCAGCAATGTCCAGAACATCCCCAAACTATGTCAGCAAAACATATCATACCGCCCTTAGGCCCAATAGCTGTTGGAATCTGCGCCGTCCTCTTGCGCTTCGGCACCTGTCAAGTTGCCAGTGGAAAATCTGCAAAAATACGGATCCTACCCTGCAGTCCCGCCTACTTTGGAACCTGCCTACGTGTGCATCAACCCCAGCCCGGCCTTGCAAATCGCTGACTTGAACGTCTGGCACAGTGGGTGCTTCGGCTACGTCTGGCACAGTGGGCGCTTCAGCTACATCTGTCTCCAACATCTCTGACTGGTTGACGGCGTCCAAGGGAGGCCAAGATTCATCAGAGTCACCTCGTTTCAGCTGGCAAAATCGACTACGGCGAATAGACTACAGCCATGGCATGCCATGGTGGAGGTACAGGTTGTAGGTCGTATGCTTTATCAGATGGGTGCTGGTTGCAAATCAGTTTCCCATCCACTTGACATGTTTTTTACAAATCTGAGACGGAACAACAATATGTTCATAAAGTCGGCCATCGATCACAACATGTCACAACTCAATGCCATTCAAACAAGAATTTGTTAGGCACCTATCCCCTGGCTTCCATTCTATTAGCCCTATGAAGCCATTGCCTTCAGGCACACCCTGCGGGTCACCAAAAGCTGAGAAAATATGTGAAGTCATGGGCTGAGCGGGCTCCATACATCTCCATACCGTACCCATTGCAAAAATTTAGACTGGATTAACTCTTAGAGGCTTTAGGGCTTCAGCAATGTCCAGAACATCCCCAAACTATGTCAGCAAAACATATCATACCGCCCTTAAGCCCAATAGCTGTTGGAATCTGCGCCGTCACCTTGCGCTTCGGCACCTGTCAAGTTGCCGGTGGAAAATCTGCAAAAATACGGATCCTACCCTGCAGTCCCGCCTACTTTGGAACCTGCCTACGTGTGCATCAACCCCAGCCCCGCCTTGCAAATCGCTGACTTGAACGTCTGGCACAGTGGGTGCTTCAGCTACGTCTGGCACAGTGGGTGCTTCGGCTACATCTGGCACAGTGGGCGCTTCGGCTACGTCTGGCACAGTGGGCGCTTCAGCTACATCTGTCTCCAACATCTCTGACTGGTTGACGGCGTCCAAGGGAGGCCAAGATTCATCAGAGTCACCTCGTTTCAGCTGGCAAAATCGACTACGGCGAATAGACTACAGCCATGGCATGCCGTGGTGGAGGTACAGGTTGTAGGTCGTATGTTTTATCAGATGGGTGCTGGTTGCAAATCAGTTTCCCATCCACTTGACATTTTTTTTTACAAATCTGAGACGGAACAACAATATGTTCATAAAGTCGGCCATCGATCACAACATGTCACAACTCAATGCCATTCAAACAAGAATTTGTTAGGCACCTATCCCCTGGCTTCCATTCTATTAGCCCTATGAAGCCATTGCCTTCAGGCACACCCTGCGGATCACCAAAAGCTGAGAAAATATGTGAAGTCATGGGCTGAGCGGGCTCCATACATCTCCATACCGTACCCATTGCAAAAATTTAGACTGGATTAACTCTTAGAGGCTTTAGGGCTTCAGCAATGTCCAGAACATCCCCAAACTATGTCAGCAAAACATATCATACCGCCCTTAAGCCCAATAGCTGTTGGAATCTGCGCCGTCACCTTGCGCTTCGGCACCTGTCAAGTTGCCGGTGGAAAATCTGCAAAAATACGGATCCTACCCTGCAGTCCCGCCTACTTTGGAACCTGCCTACGTGTGCATCAACCCCAGCCCCGCCTTGCAAATCGCTGACTTGAACGTCTGGCACAGTGGGTGCTTCAGCTACGTCTGGCACAGTGGGTGCTTCGGCTACATCTGGCACAGTGGGCGCTTCGGCTACGTCTGGCACAGTGGGCGCTTCAGCTACATCTGTCTCCAACATCTCTGACTGGTTGACGGCGTCCAAGGGAGGCCAAGATTCATCAGAGTCACCTCGTTTCAGCTGGCAAAATCGACTACGGCGAATAGACTACAGCCATGGCATGCCGTGGTGGAGGTACAGGTTGTAGGTCGTATGTTTTATCAGATGGGTGCTGGTTGCAAATCAGTTTCCCATCCACTTGACATTTTTTTTTACAAATCTGAGACGGAACAACAATATGTTCATAAAGTCGGCCATCGATCACAACATGTCACAACTCAATGCCATTCAAACAAGAATTTGTTAGGCACCTATCCCCTGGCTTCCATTCTATTAGCCCTATGAAGCCATTGCCTTCAGGCACATGCGGGTCACCAAAAGTTGAGAAAATATGTGAAGTCATGGGCTGAGCAGGCTCCATACATCTCCATACCGTACCCATTGCAAAAATTTAGACCGGATTAACTCTTAGAGGCTTTAGGGCTTCAGCAATGTCCAGAACATCCGCAAACTATGTCAGCAAAACATATCATACTGCCCTTAAGCCCAATAGCTGTTGGAATCTGCGCCGTCCTCTTGCGCTTCGGCACCTGTCAAGTTGCCAGTGGAAAATCTGCAAAAATACGGATCCTACCCTGCAGTCCCGCCTACTTTGGAACCTGCCTACGTGTGCATCAACCCCAGCCCCGCCTTGCAAATCGCTGACTTGAACGTCTTGCACAGTGGGTGCTTCAACTACGTCTGGCACAGTGGGCGCTTCGGCTACGTCTGGCACAGTGAGCGCTTCAGCTACATCTGTCTCCAACATCTCTGACTGGTTGACGGCGTCCAAGGGAGGCCAAGATTCATCAGAGTCACCTCGTTTCAGCTGGCACGGCTCAGAGGCCTTTTATTCCACACGCCAATGGCAGTTGGTGAGGAGCCCTTGCCGCACAGGCCCGTCAGGCTCACAGCCTCTTTTTGATTTCGTCTCCTTCTTTGTGTTCTTCTTTGTTCTCTTGGTCGATGTTGCTCTTGCTGCTGTTATTGTTGCCCTTCAATGTTGTACTTCTTTTGTCCCCTATCCAACCGAAACCGGGGATATTGACTCTTGATGGTCAAGCCCAGCAGCAAAACTAGAGACTCTTTGGGCAGATTTTCCATGATTTTCCGGGCAAATCCAGGGAAAGATTGACAAATCATCATACCACGTCAAACCAACTGTTCAAAAGCCCAAGTCACTGTTGACATCCGCTCTGTCGCTGGCTCGAGCTTCTTCCCCTACAGTTCATTGCCAATGGATTGATGTAGACACACCAGGGCGCTGTCAAAAGTGCTTGGGTCATGTTATGTCATGCTGGGGTCACATTCGCATGTAAGAAATGTCACATTCGACGTCAAATGCTGTCAAATGATTCAGACTTCAAAGAGTCAGGGGAAAAGTCCGGTCAACACCACTAGAATTGTTTGTTTTCAGATAAACTGAAACTCTACCAGAAATTATGCCAGAAAAGAACGCGTCACGGCATCACTATGGCTTCAAATATCTTAAATTGGACATATATGGCCATGTTGAAACTTCATTTCAATCTGGGGTGCCCCAGTAGTCAAACCTATCTCAAAATATCTTAGCAGCGTTAGCACGTGTCACATTTTTTAACCTAGACCTATATGTTATTATATGTTGCGAATGGTTGCGGTACCATCATATCACGATCATCACGTCAAACCGACTGTTCACAGCCCCAGTTACTGTTGACATCCGCTTTGTCACTTTCTCGAGCTTCTTCGCCTGCAGTTTGTTGCCAATGGACTGATGTGGACACACCAGAGCGCTATCCGGCTATCCACTTCAAAAATGGTCATGTTACATGTTATGTCATGTTGGGGCACATTCGCCTATACTATAATCACGAAGCAATGTCAAACGCAGTCAAACGCTGTCAAACGCTGTCAAATGCTTCAGACTCAAAACTCTTGGCGCCTGGAAAAGTCTTTTGTTTTCAGATGTTTTCAGATAAACTGATCAACTCCATTCAACTCCATTCAACTCCATTCAACTCCCCTAAAACATCATGACACAAACTACAGCATTGATCCAGTCCCGCCTGCATCCAAGGGAGGCCAAGATTCGCCGGAGTCACCTTGAAAAAAAAAAAACTCGGATGTTGCGATGGAAACTGTTCCCGGTTGATCAATGAGTTTCAAAAATCTTAAGCGGAAACATCCCGAAACTATGGATTTTACATGGAATTTACCATAAAACATAGGGGTCTCCTGCAGAATTGTATATGTAAGGGCCGCAACAAGATCAACAAGTCTGATAGCCCAACCTTTCCCAGTTAGCAAATCATACTAGCATCTTTGCAGATCATGAAAGATACTTGAAGAATTCATTTGAAAAAATCAGGATGATTCAGAATGTCTGAAATGATCTCAAACGTCACATGTCGTGTTGATTCCTGTTGTATGGATGCGCATTTTGGCAGCTTCCCGGGTTCAATCCAAGCAGCTCTCGGAATCTGCAGCCTTGCTGGCCACTTGGTGTCCTCACAAATTGCCCAAACTTCGATGCCGCCGTGGCCCAAGGCGGCCCTTGAAGTGCCACTTCAACAAATGTGCATGCGAGCTATTCATATATTCCCATTGAAAGAATGTCGAATGCTTCCGGTCAATGATCATATCACGTGTAAATAAAAACACGCATAAAAATGTGTGTGTGTGGAAAATATAAGTTATGTATACTTTATAATCTAACCCGCACAGCACAAGGGGAAACAACCTATATACCCAAATGCGAATGGCTCAAAATGACCGCCCTGGAGGGTATACAACCTCAACCAGCATCAACCCCCCCACCATCCCGACCCACCTCCATCACTTAGTGGGACATCTGCGACATCTGCGACATCTGCCGCAAGCTCAGGCAGGTCTACCTCCAACTTCTCGCAGCCTTAGCATCTTCGACGTTCCACATACTTCGAAAATTGTTAGCAGCCAACACGTTTCATATTTTGTAGCCATATGTTGCAATACCATCATACCACGTCAAACCGACTGTTTAAAGCCCCAGTTACTTTTGAGATCCACTCTGTCACTTTCTCGAGCTTCGCCTGCAATTTGTTGCCAATGGATGTGGACACACCAAAGCGCTATCCGGCTATCCACTTCAAATATCTTCAAACATGGTTGAGATTGGTTGAGTCATGTTATGTCATGTTCGGTTACGTTCGCCTGAACCAAAAGATGTCAAACGCAGTCAAACATAGTCAAACGCTGTCAAATGCTTCAGACTCAAAACTCTTGGCGGCTGAAAAGTGTTTTCGTTTCAAGATTTTCGGATAAACTGATCAACTCCATTCAACTCCATTCAACTCCATTCAACTCCATTCAACTCCATTCAAATCCATTCAACTCCATTCAACTCCATTCAACTCCATTCAACTCCATTCAACTCCATTCAACTCCATTCAACTCCATTCAACTCCATTCAACTCCATTCAACTCCCCTAAAACATCATGACACAAACTACAGCATTGATCCAGTCCCGCCTGCATCCAAGGGAGGCCACGATTCACCGGAATCACCTTGAAAAAAAACAAACTCGGATGTTGCGATGGAAACTGTTCCCGGTTGATCAATGAATTGGTGTTGACAAAAATCAGCGGAAACATCCCGAAACCCGGGAATTTTACCATGAAACATAGGGGTCTCCTGCAGATTTTCCCATCCGACCAAAAAATTGATGAACCAGTTGACCGAAAATCTGGGAAAGTGGTGGGGACCTCTATTGGATATACCAAACAACATTGGCTTCCGATGTCTTTTGGACCAGGGAATGCAACATCAGGAACCATCAAGAGTCATCAAGAATCATCATCATGTATGAGCGATTCCGCTGACGCTCCAAAACCCCCGCAGCCCGCCACTTCCAGTTGGTCTACCTCTATAAATGTAAGGGCCGCAACCGCAACAAGATCAACAAGTCTGTTAGCCCAACCTTTACGACTTGGCAGCTTAGCAAATCAAACATCTTGGAAAATCATGAAACATATTTAAAGATATAATTTGAAAAAATCAGGATGATTCAGAATGTCTGAAATGATCTCAAACGTCACATGTCGTGTTGATTCCTGTTGTATGGATGCGCATTTTGGGAGCTTCCTGGGTTCAATCCAAGCAGCTCTCGGAATCGGCAGCCTTGCTGGCCACTTGGTGTCCTGACAGATTGCCCAAACTTCGATGCCGCCGCGGCCCAAGGCGGCCCTTGAAGTGCCACTTCAACAAATGTGCATGCGAGCTATTCATATATTCCCAAAGAATGTCGAATGCTTCCGGTCATAGAAAAATATGATCATATCACGTGTAAAATCAAATAAATAAATAAATAGATAAATAAATAAATATGAAACAAATATGATTTAGAATTTATAAATATACACTTTGCAATATAACCAAATATAACCTGCATAAGAGGAAACAATCTTCCCAAATGTGAATGGCTCAAAATGAGGATCCTCAAACTTCAAGTCAGTTTGGATCGATCGATACCCATCGGACCCATGCCCATGCCGAGGGAGATCAACCTCACTTCAGAACCAATCTGAGCCCCATTTGGAAACCGCTGCAATGTGGTAAAGGAACAGTTTGGGAACTGGAAAATCTTCATTTTTAAGAGGTATTATACATAAACTATAGTAATCTATTTCATGGGCCATGGCTTCTAGTTCGAAACTGTTAGGCTGTTAGGGGTCCTGGAGGGTATACAACCTCAACCAGCATCAACCCCCCGACCATCCCGACCCACCTCCATCACTTAGTGGGACATCTGCGACATCTGCAACATCTGTCGCAAGCTCAGGCAGGTCTGCCTCCAACTTCTCGCAGCCTTAGCACGTTACACATGTCTCGAAATTTGTCAGCAACCTCCACATTTCACAGTTTGTAACTATATGTTTTAACATAGCCTAGCAGCCTTAGCATGTTTCACTTTTCTTGACATACCTTAGCTTGTGTTGACATATCTTAGCCTTAGCACATAACACATTTTGACATATCTTAGCAGCCTTAGCACATAACACATTTCGACACATCGTAGCCGCCTACACGTTTCACATGTCTGAAAAATGCTTTGCGATACCATGCGATACCATCATACGACGTCAAACTGTTTAAAGCCCCAGTCACTGTTCAGATCCGCTCTGTCACCTTCTCGAGCTTCGTCACCTGCAGCTCGTTTCCAATGGACTGATGTGGACACACCAGAGCGCTATCCGGCTATCCACTTCAAAAATGGTCATGTTACATGTTATGTCATGTTGGGTCGCATTCGCCTATACTATAATCACGAAGCAATGTCAAACGCAGTCAAACGCTGTCAAACGCTGTCAAATGCTTCAGACTCAAAGCTCTTGGCGCCTGGAAAAGTCTTTTGTTTTCAGATGTTTTCAGATAAACTGATCAACTCCCCTCAAAACATTGACCCAGTCCTGCGTCCAAGGGAGGCCAGGAATCGCCCGAGTCACCTTGAAAAAATAAACTCAGATTTTGAAATGGAAACTGTTCCCAGTTGATCAATGGATTGATTGAGGTGGGAAAATCTTAACCGGAAACAATGGATTACACATGATTTTACCATGAAACATAGGCGTCTCCTGCAGATTTTCCCATCCGACAGAAGTTAATGAACCAGTTGACCGAAAACATCTCGGAAAGTGGTGGGGATCACTGTTGGATATGCAGAAACAACATGGGTTTCCGAAGTCTTTTGGACCAGGGAATGCAACATCAAGAACCATCAACAATCATAATCATGCAGAGATTATGCCAGAAAATGCCGGAACAACATCAGTATGGCTTAAAAGGCTCTAAAATGGCCGTGTTGAACTGTTGAAATTTCATCAAAAGTGGGATGCCCCAGTAGTCAAACATATCTCAACATATTTTAGCAGCCTTAGCACGTTTCACTTGTTTAAACATATCGTAGCAGCCTTAGCACATAACACATTTCGACACATCGTAGCCGCCTACACGTTTCACATGTCTGAAAAATGCTTTGCGATACCATGCGATACCATGCGATACCATTATACGACGTCAAACTGTTTAAAGCCCCAGTCACTGTTCAGATCCGCTCTGTCACCTTCTCGAGCTTGGTCGCCTGCAGCTCGTTTCCAATGGACTGATGTGGACACACCAGAGCGCTATCCGGCTATCCACTTCAAAAATGGTCATGTTACATGTTATGTCATGTTGGGTCACATTCGCCTATACTATAATCACGAAGCAATGTCAAACGCAGTCAAACGCTGTCAAATGCTTCAGACTCAAAGCTCTTGGCGCCTGGAAAAGTCTTTTGTTTTCAGATGTTTTCAGATAAACTGATCAACTCCCCTCAAAACATTGACCCAGTCCTGCGTCCAAGGGAGGCCAGGAATCGCCCGAGTCACCTTGAAAAAATAAACTCAGATTTTGAAATGGAAACTGTTCCCAGTTGATCAATGGATTGATTGAGGTGGGAAAATCTTAACCGGAAACAATGGATTACACATGATTTTACCAGAAACATAGGCGTCTCCTGCAGATTTCCCATCCGACAGAAGTTGATGAACCAGTTGACCGAAAACATCTCGGAAAGTGGTAGGGATCACTGTTGGATATGCAGAAACAACATGGGTTTCCGAAGTGTCTTGGACCAAATGGGAGTGCAACATCAAGAACCATCAACAATCATGATCATGCAGAAATTATGCCAGAAAATGCCGGAACAACATCAGTATGGCTTAAAAAGGCTCTAAAATGGCCATGTTGAAACTTCATCAAAAGTGGGATGCCCCAGTAGTCAGACATATCTCAACATATCTTAGCAGCCTTAGCACGTTTCACTTGTTTAAACATATCTTAGCAGCCTTAGCACATAACACATTTCGACACATCTTAGCCGCCTACACGTTTCACGTGTTTGAAATGTGCTTTGCGATACCATGCGATACCCTCATACGACGTCAAACTGTTTAAAGCCCCAGTCACTGTTCAGATCCGCTCTGTCACCTTCTCGAGCTTCGTCACCTGCAGCTCGTTTCCAATGGACTGATGTGGACACACCAGAGCGCTATCCGGCTATCCACTTCAAAAATGGTCATGTTACATGTTATGTCATGTTGGGTCACATTCGCCTATACTATAATCACGAAGCAATGTCAAACGCAGTCAAACGCTGTCAAACGCTGTCAAATGCTTCAGACTCAAAGCTCTTGGCGCCTGGAAAAGTCTTTTGTTTTCAGATGTTTTCAGATAAACTGATCAACTCCCCTCAAAACATTGACCCAGTCAGTCCTGCGTCCAAGGGAGGCCAGGAATCGCCCGAGTCACCTTGAAAAAAAAAAACTCAGATTTTGAAATGGAAACTGTTCCCAGTTGATCAATGGATTGATTGAGGTGGGAAAATCTTAACCGGAAACAATGGATTACACATGATTTTACCATGAAACATAGGGGTCTCCTGCAGATTTTCCCATCCGACAGAAGTTGATGAACCAGTTGACCGAAAACATCTCGGAAAGTGGTGGGGATCACTGTTGGATATGCAGAAACAACATGAGTTTCCGAAGTCTTTTGGACCAGGGAATGCAACATCAAGAACCATCAACAATCATAATCATGCAGAAATTATGCCAGAAAATGCCGGAACAACATCAGTATGGCTTAAAAGGCACTAAAATGGCCATGTTGAACTGTTGAAACTTCATCAAAAGTGGGATGCCCCAGTAGTCAGACATATCTCAACATATTTTAGCAGCCTTAGCACGTTTCACTTGTTTAAACATATCGTAGCAGCCTTAGCACATAACACATTTCGACACATCGAAGCCGCCTACACGTTTCACATGTCTGAAAAATGCTTTGCGATACCATGCGATACCATGCGATACCATTATACGACGTCAAACTGTTTAAAGCCCCAGTCACTGTTCAGATCCGCTCTGTCACCTTCTCGAGCTTCGTCGCCTGCAGCTCGTTTCCAATGGACTGATGTGGACACACCAGAGCGCTATCCGGCTATCCACTTCAAAAATGGTCATGTTACATGTTATGTCATGTTGGGTCACATTCGCCTATACTATAATCACGAAGCAATGTCAAACGCAGTCAAACGCTGTCAAATGCTTCAGACTCAAAACTCTTGGCACCTGGAAAAGTCTTTTGTTTTCAGATGTTTTCAGATAAACTGATCAACTCCCCTCAAAACATTGACCCAGTCCTGCGTCCAAGGGAGGCCAGGAATCGCCCGAGTCACCTGTGAAAAAAAAATAAATCGGATTTTGCGATGGAAACTGTTCCCGGTTGATCAATGAATTGGTTGAGGTGGGAAAAATATTAAGCGGAATCATCCTGAAACCATGGAGTTTACCATGGAAGATCGGGGTCTCCTGCAGAATTGCGACCATCATCCAACCAAAAAAGTTGACATCCCCGCAGCCTTCCAATGCCACTTGGTCTACCTCTATATATGCAAGGGCTGCAACAAGATCGACAAGTCTGTTGACCCCACCTTTCTGACTTTACAAAACATACTAACGTCTTAATCATGAAAAATAATTTATAGAGATAACACCAAAAATAATCCAAGTGATCTCAAATGTCAAGTGTTGTGGGAGCTTCCCGGGTTCAATCCAAGCAGCTCTCGGAATCTGCAGCCTTGCTGGCCACTTGGTGTCCTGACAAATTGCCCAAACTTCGATGCCGCCGTGGCCCAATGCGGCCCTTGAAGTGCCACTTCAACAAATGTGCATGCGAGCTATATCATGCAATTTATAGAATGTTCAATGCTTCCGGCCATGGAAAAATTGAATAGATCATGTGATATAATTAATACCATTTATTTATGTGTTTATTGTTCCAAAAAAAGGCAATATTATATATATAGTTACAGAATATACAGTACGCATCAGTATACATTATGACCTGCATCAGGGGAACAACCTTCCCAAATGTGAATGTCTCCAAATGAGGACGCCCAGTATCTTCAAGTCCTTGTTGAACCCAAAGAGATCCATGCCCCTGGAGGGTTTTTTCAACCCCACAACCAACCCCCCGACCATCCCAAGCCACCTCCATCAGTCACTTCATCCTGTACATCTGCAAGATCTTGGGCAGATGTTGGCTTTTCAGGCAGGTCTGCTTCCGACTGCTTGCTCGGAAGGTTTGCCTTAGAGAAAGTGAGGAATCATGGCGAGTTCACATTTGGAACAAAAAAACTGGGGTAGACATCTGACATCATCTGACATAGACGCGAAAAAACCCCAAAGGTTTTCCTTGAGTTCTTTCGTTCGGAACATGGAAAAATATATAAAAATATGTGGCTTCTCCAGGGATTCTCATGGATTCACTCTTGCTTTGCAGGAGGCTCTGAAAAAACGATCATAATTATTCAATGGGAATTCCAGGATCCTAAAATGGAGGTACTGTACCATATAAGGCCTTTTTTGGGGGGGATATTCCCTTACATAGGCCTTATATAGGCCTTATATATGGTAGGTACCTCCAATTTAGGTTCCTGAAATGGCCATTGAATTATCCTCTGGTTATTTAACATAGCTATGGAAGCCATGGACCGTTTATAGATGTTGTTTGATGGTTTACCTATTAATAGCATGGTGATGTTCCATGGCTATGTAACAAATGACCCCTGAAAAAATTATGGGATGAATACCATCTGGTAATGGCTATTTTCCATGGTTTACCTATTAAAAAGGTTAAATAACCTGGTATTCACCTCTGAAAAGTTCGGCACGCCGTGTCGTAAAATGCCACCGAGTCTAGACTCTTCCAGCCAAAAATCCCGGATACCAACCATTTTTGTGCGGGTTACCCTCTGGTAAACTAACATAGCTATGGAAAATAGCCATTAATAGTGGATTTTCCCATTAAAAATTGTGATTTTCCATAGTTTTTTGTAGGTTTACCGGAGGGTCATGTTTGAAACATCCAAAAAAATCATAGGCTTCACCCTTGGGATCACCTAACAGTTCACTGGAAAATCCCCAACAGTTGATGTCTGTAAATCATCTGAAAACGGACGATTCTCCATGGCTACCCGGCCTGGTAAACCTACAAAAAACGATGGAAAATCACCATGTTGAATGGGTAACTTCACTAAAAAGGATCATTTTCAATAGCTATGTTAGTCATAACCAGAGGGTATGTTGAAAATTATCGCAGGGCATCCAGTCTCAGCACACAGGAGTTGTGGTGTGTCATTGGCTTTGCAGCATGCTGAATCTCTCAATTGCATCCCCATGGTAAGCCATTCTATGGATCAGATGGTTTCTCTGAAAATAGGGCACGCGAAATAATCCCATAGTTACTCATCATTTTCCTTAGTGTCATTTTAGGAGTTATTTCATGTTATTTCCCCATTTTCAAACACACTCACTTCATGGCTGGTTGGTGGTTTCAACCCATCTGAAAAATGTTAATCAATGGGAAGGATTATCCCATATATTATGGGAAAAAAAAATGTTCCAAACCACCAATCTTATTGTGTTTAACACATCCAAGTAGTAATTGAAACCATCCCCCAAATTCACATAGACCATCAGTCGAGACTTCAAAGATTGGTTCTCACATAAAAATCGCGATGTTCTGGGTCTAACTTTTAGTTGTTCATCATGTCATCCCCATATATTCGATAGTTACAACATCTTACAAACATAAAACGACTATAATGATTATCATGGATGGTTCAATTATCAAAAAATCCTATTTTTCACAGGTCCATTCTTCTCAAACCCACCTAAGAGGCTGTCCCTCGAGCTACCTCACGGCTGGCAAAGAAGGCTCGCAAGCGCGGCATGTCCACGGCGTCGGGTCGCCATGGCCCACTTCGTCATCGCGAAGGGTTCAGCTGAGAAAAACAGCGGCGTCATGCGGTGTCCCAAAAAAATGGGGGCATCCCGAAATAGATGGTTTAAATGGAAAATCCATCCTATTAAAATGGATGAGAAGTTGAACTGGGGTAATTACCTCTATTTTGGGAAACCTCCGTATCAGTGGATTAAATTGATGATTTGAGATGCGTCAGCATATGTCAGCATGATTTAAGACATGCTAAGAATGGTTGAAGATTTAAGATCATGAATAATTTTGGGAACAATCTTGAACGGACGCCATGTTTTCTAATTGTCAAATGTAAGGTCGTCCCGCAATTTGTCCCCCTCAACAATTCTGGCAATGGCTGTCTGTGGCTGGGTCTGAAGCAGCTTTTTGGATGATTTGGGGTACCCGCATGACCTAGGAAACCTCCATGTCTACCGCCCCCACCAGCCCTGGAAAAACACCTCTTCTTCTTCCTTTCGTTGCCGTTCCTGCTCGGCTTTTCGACGTTCCGCCTGGTATCCAGCGGTCCAGGGCTGGGGACAACGACAGACCTGGAAAATGACCCCAGTAAAATGAGGTTCCTACATTCAAAACCGTGCATTCCTACATTCAAACATGTATGAAGCAAATTGTGAAGATGGTTGTTCCAAATCCATATATTCAATCAGTGGCCAAAAACGTTCAAAACCTTACAGTACTTCTTGTATCTTCTTGTCATTTATTTTGAGAATGCACATGCACAAAATATGCATCGGATGCCGTACATCGTTCCAAAATCGCATGGTCATTGAATCGCCATGGGAACAACTCGCCACTTCTTCCACTTAGGAAATCGTCATCGCCTCACATTCTTGATCTGCGTCTGCCTGGGGATGTTGCTGGGTGACACCCCATCAACTGTGGTCAGGTGCTCATCATCTCAGAAGTCTGGCTATGGAACGCGTTTTGTTTCTTCAACTTGTTTGTTTTGCAACATGTGAATACCATGTAAATTTCAAGCACAAAATGTGGTGCCATATACTTAAACAAACAAAACTTTTCAAGATTTCAAGCGCCAACTCAAGAAAACATCAGAAAACCACCATTCAAAAATTCTTGAGTCGTGTCCCATCCATTCGCCCATGAAAAATTTCGTTCCCAGGGCCCCCTGACGCTTTTGGCGCGTCGCTTGCTGCCCTCGCTGCTATGCCTGGTATCCGTCAGATTCACTGGTAATCGACAAAGATAGCAAGTGAAGATAAGTTGAAGAGAGATACACATTGAGATTTTGTTTTTACATAGCAACACCCGGATTTACCATGGCAAAGTGATCAGAAGTGAATCATCATAATCATCATAATCATAATAATCATCCATAGGATCTGACTTTTATTATCTTTTTTGGGGAGTTACTCTGGTTGGTGGTTGACCTACTCCTCTGAAAAATATGAGTTCGTAAGTTGGGATGATGAAATTCCCAACTGAATGGAAAGTCATAAAATTCCATGGTTCCAGTCACCACCAACCAGATATAGTAACCCTTTAGTAATCATTATTTAGTACTATATAGTAATCATATATACTAGCCATATTATATAATTAGTAACATAGACCCTGGCAGATAGGAATTGGAAGACTAGTTTCCATTAAAAATTGGCTATTTTCAGGGTCAAACAGTTAATTTACCAGAGGGTAACATATAGTAATTGAAGATAACATATAGTAACATGTAGTAACCATATACAGTAGCCATACTATTCTATAGCAACATATAGTAAGTAACCATATTTAGTACCATGAACCATTATAATCACCATTAACTAGTTTGTTATATCTACCATAAACCATTGAAGATAACCAAAGAAAGACAGCGGCTGACCATCTTCGCCAACCCAGCATCAAGGCTGACCTCCGGTGCACCTCACTCAAACGATGGCCTGGGGCAAAATTTTTTGGGCCGTCAGATTTTTTCTGCTTAAAAACAGAAATGTGGGTAAAAACAATCATAAACCATTCCCCAGTTATCACCATAAACTAAATAGGTGGTATATATATATATATATATGTAAACGGTGGTATATATAATCATAAACCATCATAAACCATCATAAACCATCATTTGACCATCATAAACCATCCCCAGTCATGGCTGGTGACATTGTTTTACCCACCGACCTCGGTGTGTTTCAGCTTTGCTGCCTCTGCCTGTGCTCCGTGCAAAGCCAACAGGGAGCCCGGTGAGACCGATCCGTTGAAGGCCATGTGAAACCAAGAAACATACCCTCTGGTAAACATACAGAAAACTATGGAAAATCACCATTTTTGATGGGAACATCCACTATTTCAATGGCAATGTTCAATAGCTATGTAACAAATTACCAGAGGGTACCCTCGGGTCATTTAACAGTTTCATATTGAAAATTGCCATTTATGGTGAATTTACCCATTAAACATGGTGATTTTCCATAGTTTTTTGTAGGTTTACCAGAGGGTAGGCATTAATGCCTCGACACACTAACGTGGACCACAATTTACCCAGAAAAAGTGCCACAAAATGTGGTGAAACAATGAGGCTTTCAAGAATTGGGGGGTGCATTTCTTGTGGAACTACCTGATTGCCAAATTCCTTTGTCTGAACATAAGATACCACCAAATTTGATGGTGGATCTGCATAATCTCACTAAAATGCCCACGCAGACACACACCCAAATACCAATTCAGCTGGTAAGTTATCTTACTATATCATAAAATATTCCGCATTTCATACCTCTAGTTCTGTTGGTTCATGCTTTCATGTGCTTAAATATTGCATTTTTATATAGCAGCAAAACGCCAAACATCCCAAAAAACCTCCCAAAAAACATGTTTTTTAACTGGTACACCCACAGCTTCCACCAGTGCTCCAAAGGTGGTGCCTGCGTCCGCAGGACCACCACCACTACCACTGAAACGTCGCCGTCGGCCCTCTTCGATTGCACGTCTCGCCTCCTTGACCCAGATCAGTGGTGGTTTCAGCCCCTACATCTACAGGATGGGGACCCCCAGTGATGTTAGTTGGTTTATAAACCATAACAAAACCCCCATGAAAACTAGTTCGTTTTATATCTGTTATATCTACCATAAACCATCGAATTCAGCCACTTACAAGGCAACTGAACGCTATCGACTGGGGGCCCATCCTGGTACCATGGTTTCATTGGTGTTTAGTATTAGGGAGAAATTCATACTAAAGCAAACTTGAAAACTCATATTTAATATAATATGTTACTATATGTTGTAATTATTAAAATATATAAAACACGTGATTCATGTTACTATATGTTACTAAAGCCAAAATTAATACCCTCTGGTAAACTAACATAGCTATTGAAAATGACCATTTGTAGCGGATTTACCCATTAAAAATGATGATTTTCCATCGTTTTTTGTATGTTTACCAGAGGGTAAACCAGCCATATTTTGATGGTTTATGCATGTTTTTTAACCACCCATTGCCCATAAAAATGGTCCAATCGGGGATGGTGGATCCAGTTTCGCTAGCCGCTAACCTCGCGAAATGTCAACCAGGAATTTGCGAAACCGCGAGTTGATTCATAGACCAATAGATTCCAATAGGGGAGGTACTAATTTCGATAGCAATCAATTTAGTATATATAGGATTTTTTTTTGGAGCACGCTTCAATTCCTAGTCAGTCATTAAAATTACTTCGGGGTTGACCGGTTGACCTTATCCTGATTCCACGCCACTTCGGAATTGCATTTCGATTTATTGAGTCTAATGATTCTGATGATTCTGTTGATCATACCAGCTGAGCTCAACTTTTGTGGAGATGACCGGTGTTCCTTCATGATCTCTTGATTTCGTTGCGTGGACCAACACCCACCCGACCTACCGATACTACTGTCGGCTGATGAGTGCTAGCCGCTTGCTTACTGTGAAAAAATCTACCTGACACCAACTGAAACTCATGGGTCTTTGGATGCGAATCCCAGTCTCCAACTAGTTGATCGTTTTTTTTTGGTTTTTGGGTACAATAATAATACTGGAACCCAGTTATACGATTTACTGTACATGTACCCATATGGGTGGGGCTTGTGGGTTGTGGCTTGGGTATGGTTGGGTTATGCAACATATATAGCTCCGAGTTGGATCCCCCGTGATGTGGGTACAACCCACGTCACCATTTTCTCACCTCGGCGAGGCGATGTTTCTCCTCCACCAGGAGCAATTTTCCTCAGTTTCAGTGGCCATGGGTCAAAAATGCGCCAAAACCATGGTCAAATGAGTCAAAAGCCATGGATAGCCATGGTTTTTCGGATGGTACCCATCCAAAATCCCGAAGAAAAAGTTTGCAAAAGCTGGTTAGTAGATGGTAAAACTCCTCCAGTGATATGGCATTTTTTTAGGAAAAAAAAGGTGTTGACCCATCCCCAGGTGGTTTTCTGGATGTTGCTAGCAGGGTGCGGCTTTTTGGTGATGGAAATTATATCGTTTCCCTAGGTTTTGGCAACCCCACTCCCCCCCCCAAAAAGACCTTCCAAGCAACTGGCTAGTAAATTAAGTGGGGTTATAAGGGGGTTATAAATGGGGTAACTCTGGCCAACGGACCTACTACCCGCAGTAAACTAACAGAGTTATAGTGAAAATGGGGCATTTATGGATGTTTTTACTCAGTCATTAGACTAAAAGAGTGTGGTTTTCCATAGTCATGTGGCAGTGTGTCAAAACCTTGTACCCCTGGTGAACATCAAAATAGCTGGTAAATGGATGTTCATCCTATTAAAAATGGTATTAATAGGTATTGATCCATACCCATGTGAGTTTACTAGAGGGTAACCAGGGTTACTAATCAGTTACTAAGATGATAATTCCAAATACCATGGCACTTCAACCAAGCTTCTGTGCAAGCGACGGGAAGCCGCCTCCTGCCGCGATCTTTGCGCCTCGACGCGCTTGCGTTCCACCTGCCCAGAGTTGTCTGACAATGGGGGATGGATCCCAAACAAAATTGCCACGTGATGTTAAAATCTGTTAAATTAGCATGATTTAACCTAGATACAGTACCCGGTTTGAAGTTGAAGATCTTCCAGAACCCGGTTTGAGGTTTAAGATGTTTAAGGTCTTCGGGTACCTGGTTCAGAGTTTTAGGTACGCCACTACCCGGGTTAGCAATTCTTACTGCTGGTTGCGGAGCCACATTGAGAATTTTTCTGGACATTTCAGCATCAAATGGGTTCCAGGAGATTCAACCGGCTTGCTCTAGCTGAACTTCTGCAACTATCATAAACAACCACCATCCACAAAGTTTGCACATGGCCCCCTTTAAAAAAAAAAAAAAAAACTATAGAATATACCTCAAACTATGCCCCCCCCCGGCCAACAGCTAGTTTGGTCGTGTGATTCATAGGGAAAATGATATAGAACATGAATGAAAATGATTCTGCCAGTGGTTTTTTCATGGGGTGCCCTATTTTCATTCAAACCGATAAGTTCACCAACCTCCAGTGACGCCTGGATTTTTGGCTATTCCGCATCTATCAGGCGTTCATCATCCTCTAGTCAGCTCCATGGCTCTGGATGACCCTCCAGGAAAAGTTGGAGGATGCTTCCAGCTATAAACATCTGGGGATTTCCCGGCTGCCGGCTGGACCCCAACAATAACCATCAACCATCAAGTCATCAATCCACATCATAGGTCAACCCATCCTATACCCATCCTAAAAGGATGGGTAACCATCATTATCCCATATCCCATTAAATATCCTGATATATCCTGATCAAAAACCATAATTGTTTTTACATACGTATATAAATCATTATAAATCCTTGTTCTTGCCTATGGTAACCCCAATGCCAGAAACAATGCCAAAAATTGTGCCACAGGGACGATATTGATTAAAAAAATTGGAGATGTCCCGGATGTCATTCAACAGATTCCCGATATCACTTAACGAGTTTCAGATTTTTTTTCACCAAAAACAACTGTTTCGGTGTTTTGTTGTTTTTCTTGGTTTCCCCATTTCTGATCCTTTCACAACAAATTTCGCAACGTTTTTCACGAAAAAATAAGGAGGTCTTTTGTTTTTCAGATTGAAATTCCCTTCAGTTCCCTTATCATTTCTCATCCTTTGCAGGTTTCATAATCTTTTCATCAAAAAATGTCCATTCAGTTCGGGATTTTAATTTTTCACCAAGGCTAAACCCAAGGGAAACCCAAAATCAAAACATGTCCCTTCAGTTCCCTTGGTTAATATTAAATTAAATATCTTTTGGATTATAATTGTTTATTTTAAAAAATATATATATGGAATGATTGGCTAAATCCATCTTATTGATACATTCATCCGTAATTTTTCCCTAATATGTCCCTAATTTATATTTTGGATATTCCCTTGGGGCTTCGTTTCAACCGACAGCCGCGCGACCCCATCGCTGCACCTCTTCCTGCTCCTCCCGTCGCACGCGGCGCTTCTCCTCGGCAAGGCGGCGGAGATCTTCGGCCAGGCTCTCACGCCTGGGGAGTTCGGCAGCAGGGTGCGAACCATGGTGGGTTCATGTGGGAATTATATAGGGTTATATGGGATTTATATGGGATTATGTGGGATTATGTGGGAATACATAGGGCTATATAGTATTATATAGGATTATATAGGATTATGTAGGATTCATGGTGGAAGATGGGATTTATGATGAAGTTCAGATGGGATTTATGGTGGCTTATGGTGAATTCTTGGTGAATTTATGTGGGTTTATCTTGGTGTTGATTTCTGGCAGAGCCAACAAGCCAAAGAAACTATAATAACTAATAGCTCATCGATTGAGATTTGTTGCATGATACAAAAATGTTTCGATTTTGTGCTGGTTCTGTTTTTTGTTGTTGGATGATTTGTTGGAAATCAAATTTGGTGTTTTTTTTTGGAGGTGTTTGAGTGACTCTCCATGAGGATTTTTCGAGATATTCTGTTGCAATTCTTGGATTTGGGTGGTTCGTTGGATTGTTGGCAGATATCTTGTCCTGTTGGGCGGAAAGAAGGGGAAATGGTGGATACCCTCCGGTGTCAGAAAGAACGTGGCTTGCTGGAAAATTGCCTGTTTGTCGATGATTTTGCCAGCTATAAACCTTTATCATCCTCTTATATACTGTCTATATATAGTGGATAATGTGGGCAACCCAATGCCATAAACCTACCAAACTAGGGGACGGTTTATATAGTTTATACAACACTTGTTTAAAATCTATGATGACTTTGCGGGGTGGTTTATCAGTTTACCGCATGATATTGATTTCAACGGGGTACCCCCAAAAAAACTCCATCTGAAAAGGACTTTCCATTCCAAACCAACCATTTTGGGAATCCCCATATCCTCTGAAGTGGATGGCTTGGATTTTTGGAGGACTTTCCATCCCATCGATTTCAGCGAATTTATGGAACCCGCCCCAGCGCCATGGGGCCATGGCCTCTGCTCGTTCTGGCGACGCTGTCGTTCCTCCCCCGTCTTTTGTTGCATCATTGCGCGTTGACGCTCCGCCTGAAGGTGCGGTTGTCTTCGACTTCAGCCCATCCATGGGTTTAATGTAGAGACAATGGTTTATCAATGCTACTCATTAAAACATCGTTATAACAATGGAAGCTGTAAGCTAGGGTTGAATGATGTTTAATTGTTTTAGCATATTATGTTTTAATTGTGATTTCATGGAAAATCATGGGTTTGAAGCATCAAAAATATGGCGATGTCATGGACATGAAATGAACATTTCATGGGATTTATATAATGGGTTTGAATGGTTAGCCAGAATGGCTGAAAAACCATGAAAAAATGTTAAATCATTGATTAAATTCAAAAACAGTGGTTTCTCAATGGCGATAGAACAGCTTATTGAAAATGGAACTGGTGTGAACTAGTAATAATCCCTTCCCCTTAATTTTCTCACGCCACAGATACCATGGTGGATGCAAAGGATGAAATGATGAACTCACACACTTGGGACCATTGAGGGGGTGCTTCATGTGAGGGGGTGGAATTATTGTTGATAGGTAAATCATGGCATATAAAATTATATAAATCGGTACAGATCATCTATTTCCATGGGCCATGGCTTCCAGTTCACAAACCATGAAATAGCCAGAGGCTAGTAATCCTTAAGCTAAACACCCCGCTAAAACCTTATTGGGGGTGTCGGTTGCCATTCCGAAAGGGGAGTTGCGGGTGGTTCCTGGAAATCATCCCATCCCCCTAAATTATGGGATATTCCACGAATACGAATGCGAATGGGAATGCGAGTGGGTGAAAATTGGCATATCTGGCATGTATGGTGATGAGATGAGATGGCATGGGATATGGTGTTTTGGGCATATTGATGCAATCTCAGTGGAATATTCGTGGGAATATATGTGGGAATATGCTGACTTAATGGGATATTCATGGAATATGGATGGGACTGATATATACATATCATGAGATATCATCTGGGTAAATGATAATATTTCACTAACCTCAAATAAGGCCATTATTTCCAGTGAGGTCGCAGTGAGGTCGTTATAATTTACCCAGATATCATGAGATATCACGTGGATGAAATACAATGACCTCATGTCATGACGTCACCGGAATGATGGGAGCTGGATTCGGAGATTTCTCGACGCCTCCAAGCGCAGCCGTTCGGCTTCCAAGCGCCTTTGTTCGGCGGCCACCTGGAGGCAGAGGATGCTTTGAATGGGACAGTTTCCCAAGGAAAGTTCGACCAAATATGCTGGTGTTCATATGGGAAAAATCATGAAAAATCGAGGGAAACATGTGAACAATTATGAAAAATTGGCATGTGCAGTACATTAACTTGGTAATTACCATCTGGTTATTTAACATTCTGCCATGGAAAATCACCATTTTCAACAGATAAACCATCTATAAATGGGCCATTTTTCCATGGTTATCTTAAATGTCCAGAGGCTAAGTCCCGGCAATTCGTGGGAGATGTGATGATTGGCGATCCAGCTTCCTAGATTCATTGCTGGAAGGGAACATTAAATACCATACCCACTGGTAAATTAACATAACTATGGATATGCTATTGAAGTTTCATCGTTAAATAATGTGGGTAAAACAATGCCATAAACCATCCCCCAGTCATCACCATAAATATATAGGTGATATAAACGAACCATTTCCAGTCATGGCTGGTTTATGACATTGTTTTACCCACATTAACCATTCAATAACCATATATAGTCATTAAATAACCATATATAGTCATCAAATAACCACATATAACCATTCAATAACCATATATACCCATTTATGACATTGTTTTACCCACATCAAATGGTTTTCCATAGCAAACTCTTGGTGGATCCACATGGAAATTGTTGAAGATTGGCAACTCTTGGGATTTTCGGAGGAGTTCCCAGCCGTGAGGTTGTGAGTGTTTTCATTTTGAATTTGTTGTTGGTTTCTTGTTTGGTCTTAATCAACGGAAAACCCCATCATTATCACTAATTATCATCAATTATACTTAATCATCAATAATTAACCATCATTAACCATAATTTATCATAATTTGTTATAATTTACCCAGAATTTGTTAACCATCATTGACAAACATTAACAATAATTGATGATAATTGATCATAATTGATCTCACCTCATCCCCAGTCCACAACTCGTCTAACGCACTGCGACGGACGACAAGTCTAACGAACGACCATTCGTCCGACCTCGCGCCACTTCCGTTCGATGGCCCGAATCTCGTCCGCCTTTTGCCTCGAGAGCTCCAACTGCTTCTTGACCGCGGCACCTGAACGGTCCAAAGGCCGGAAATTGGGAAATTTCCGGGTGAAGAAATGGGAGAAAAATCCCCAAAAAGTTGGGAAAAATCAAAAAACATGGGAAAATTGATGAAAATTTGGGGATAAGCTGGGTGAAGTATGGGAGAAGCTCAAACGAGATATTGTGGGATGATGATGAACTCTGATCTTTGGTAACTTCAATCTGTTTGAGGTTGGAAATTCCCTCTAAGCCATTTCAACTCATCGCACTCATCCTGAAATTCATTGATAGAATCCTGACCAGGGCATATACAACCATCCTAAATTGGAGGTACCTACCATATATAAGGCCTATGTAAGGCCTATGTAAGGGAATATACCCCCAAAATATGGCCTTATATGGTACAGTACCTCCATTTTGGGATCCTGGAATTCCCATTGGCCATATACAACCCCCAATTTTCACGCAACAAACAAGTTAGTTCCAACAACTAACCATCAAGCAACTGAAGAATCTCAACATTTCACCTCTAAAGACCTCCAGCAAGAGGGATGGTCATGGTCACTGCCTCATAAAAAGTCCATCACTTTAGCCATGGTTTACCGTCTATGAATCAAACATGGCTAAAGAAAAATCCCGCCAGCTATAGTTCGATATGTTCGATGATTTTCCCAGCTTAGAAACCATCATTTTTGATAGATTTCCCAGCGACGTTTGATGAAACCAGAGTGTATAACCACCTGATCGCTTGGACAATCGTGGACGTTGAGCAGACCATCGATTTTGCGGTGTTGTCCCGTACACTGTACGCATGTAAATATATCATATCTCTCCATCGCCATTTGCGCATGAAAATCTATATGTCTATTATAATAATATATATATATATGTGTGTTTGTATGTCTGTGTGTGTGAGTCTTATATATATACACATATATATATATATATACATAGCATATAATAAGCAACCATTTCCATCTAGTATCATCCCATAACCCCAATGTAGTTGATGTAAGCAATAGTTCGGATCCTCCTTTCCCAACCTTTACCATTTTTCATGGGATTGAAACCATCCATCCCAATTTTAGAATGGCTTATGACATCGCTATACTAATATCATTGCTAATGGATCTGCTCATGGGTTTACATATGGCATGATATATCCAATTATCTCTGCTATAGTTAATGCACCAATTATTAGATATACCAACTATATATCTATGCTAAGGCACATTGTATATTATATATATACACGTATATATTGATCATAACAATAAATCAATAGTCATCAAGTACTCATCATAATTATGAACAACAATCATGATTCCCCGAATCCAATTCCCATGATTCCAGGTCGCAGTGAGGTCGCTAGTTATAAGTTATCCATATATATATATGTGCGTATATGTGTGTGTGTTTGTGTATCTATATCTATATATACATCCTCCAGTAAATTAACATATATATAGAGCCCGAAAATCGTAAGATATATTATGATATATTCATATTACATATACCGCATATACTGTTATGTTCTCACCACATTTCCCCAACCCTTTCCCAACTCACCTCTGCTTCGCAGCAAGGTCGGCGGCTCGCGTTCGCGCTCCTTTTCGACGGGCGCCGGAGAGACTCGCTCCAGCGGAGGCGTCCTTAGGTAGAAACCGATGGATTTTCATGACATGTTCATGGGATTGTCATGGTGATTTAATGGTGATTTAATGGTGATTTGATGAATCTTTCATGGGATTTAGTGCTGATTTGATAGGAATTCCTGGTGATTTGATGGGATTTTTGATGAAAAAGTGGCATCAAGTGGCATCAAGTGGCAATCTATGGTGAATTTAAGGGACTTTAGGGGCACATTATGGCAAGTGATGGGCAATCTATGGATAATCCAACAGAAACTTAATAGTCTTTAATAAGTGGATAATAGTGGAAAGTAGGAGGCTGAAGGTTTTTGTTCAAGTGGTTCGAGGGAAGGCATGTGGAAAAGCCTGTTTGAAAGTACAAGTGGGCTGACCGGTTGGTAACTTTGACTAATTCCAAAAATAGGTCTGTCAATTGGCAGTTGGAGAAAGTTGGAAAACCATAAACTGGAAGTTGGAGAAAGCTGGAAACTGATCAAAATCGACCACGAATATGTACGGTATGCATATATATATATAACTTATAACTATATAACTATGTAATATTATTAATCTATTGATATGTATGAAATCATTGAAATATCTGTCTCATGACCAGCCTCATGAACTCCGCCAAGCAACGCTTCCTTCTTCTTCAGAGGGGCCGTGACCACCCCTCAGCAGTTGAGCAACTTACAGTGCTGGTGCTCCGATCCAATAAAGTAAGATCAGATTGGATGAGGCAAGAATTTTACAGTAAAAAAAACAATAAATAACAGGTATTTGAGTTTCACACGCACACACAAATAAGTAATCAAATACAGCAATCATTTATTAGCATAGCGGATGAGAGATGCGATAAGACAAATATTGAACGATATCAATGATATCAATACTGCAAAGAAAAATAGATACAAATTCCATCTACCATCTGGTTTTTTGTTACATAGCCATGGAAAGATCCACCATGTTTAAAAGGTAAACTTCTATTTACCTCTGTTTCTATGGGCCATCTACACCATGGCTATGTAACAGTCATAACCAGATGGTAAGCAATGCCTCCTGGTTGAGACTTGGGGGATGGTTCATGGCAGCAAGTGGGTCCCACACCAGAAACACGGCTAATGACTAACAGATACTAACAATTTGCGAACTGGAAGCCATGGCCCATTGAAATAGTTGATTTACCTATTAAAGATGGTGATTTTCCATCGCAAACTGTTAGTTTACCAGAGGGTACCCCTCCAGTAAACATACAAATCAAACGTGGTTTGCTGGAAAATCTCCCATTTTCCATGCTTTTCCCAGCTTAGAAAGCTCCATTTCAAGGGAGTTTTCTCAACCAACCAACACCCCCCACACGAAGTGGGTCGGTCTGAAAATCCGATACCCTAATTACTTTACTTCGAGTGATCCCCACCATGACATTTCAAAACAGCTAGTTGACAGCACTTTTGTCTGAAGCTTTTGTCACGGGACTTTTGCCCAACTAACTATCCCAATCATTTGTTTCACCTGGCAGGTCATTGTACAGGTCAGACTGTCAAACAGGATATAAACATGGCAGTGGACCATGTGAAGTAAACTCCAGAGCTCTCAACAGGTTTGTTTAAACATGACCAAACAGGGCAGTGGACCACCTGAGCCAAACAAACAAACATGCCCAAACATGTCAGCACGCCGCCTGTCAAACATGTTTGTACAAACATGACTGAACCAAGCCAGTGGACCCCTGAACCAAAGTCAAAGGCTCGCAAGCTCACGTGTAAACTCGACAAAACCATGCCAGTGTTACTTCATCAGATCGCTGCAGCTGCAACTCTCTATTTCTCCACCAGACCTCTTCAATCAAAACCGATTAGGTCCCACTGGCAGAGCACTGTGTCAGGATGCTTGCAATGCATCATAGACAGGCCAGGACTGCAGCCGCTCCAGCGTCGAAGCAGCTTTGGCTTCCAACTTGTCAGTTAGTTCTCGCAAGTAGGTAGGAGGGCCTTTGCGTAAAAGCTCCTCCACTTGCTCCGTGAACCCCAGCAAGATGAGATTCTTCAGTTTGCGGGCACGCGTCAGCATGACATAGATAGCTAGCCACCAGTCCGCATCCTCTAGGCCACCACCACGACGCAAATCAACCAGCACACCTCCGTCCAAAGTCAAGCCTTGCGCGCTGTAAGCAGTGCGCAGCATGCCATGCAAAAGAGGAAACTGCCAGCGAATCACTTCAATTTTCTCGGTTTCCTCGCCTAGCTTCAAATCAATTTGAACTCTGCATGCACCAATTCCACAAAGAACAATGTCTTTGCGTCAGTTGTGTGATCGGCCACATTCTGAAACTTTTCTTCCCACGTCTGCAACAGAGCATCTTCCATGGGCGAATTCTTTCCTTTAAGTAATTTCACCCAGATACCTTTGGCCATGTAGTCCGGAAAAAAATGACAGAATCCAGGTTCACGACGGTCCAGGCGCTTCTGATCTTCATGGTGCAAATCCACTTTCACTACCACTACCAGTTTGTCTTTAACCAATCCAAGGTGTGGAGCCAAGACATCCGCCAGTCGCACAACCATGTTCTCGTGCACCAGTAGCATGCCTTGCAATTTGCCAGTGCGATGCGGGTTTGGAACAGTGAGCAGCTGATGCGTCAGCTGCTTGTCTATGGTTTTATTTTTTCTGGAATGCCTTTGGTCAGCAGCTTGCAAACAAAATAACGGCACATCCAGGTCTTGCGCATCTCGATTTGCCCGTTCCACCATGCTGCGAGCAATGTTCTCCCAATACATGCCAATGACGTGACCGTGCTTGAACAAGTCTGTGGTTAGTTCTTTCTTGCAATTTTCGATTTTGCGAGTGCGCAGCTGAGCCAAGTGATCCTCGGACAAAGGAGCAGCAGGCGTGCACGTGCGCATGGCTGTTGTGATTTCTGGCAGGTGAGCATCCAGAAACCGCTTCGACTTCTTCAAATGAATCACTGTATCAATGGTCATCAATGCCGCCTGGGCAGCATGGTGTTCTGTCTGCACTCTGTGCGGCATTTTGCGGATCAGCTCTTCGAGATTGTCAGCTAAGGAGATCTCGTTGGCAGGCTTGATCTGCAAAAAATCACCTGCAATCAGCAAAATTGGTATGTGTCCCATGAGCTCTCCTGGGTGGAAATAGCTGGCTGGATCAAGGCCTTCATCTTGACGGGCGCGCATGCTGCGGTAAAGCATCATGTTTTCCACTGCAGCTGGCACCAAACTGATTTCATCTTGAATGATTAAAATTTTCGGCTGCCAGCGTTGTTTCATCTTGCTCTTTTGTCTTCAAGGCCAAATGCTTGTTGCGCAAACTGGCTACACGATACGAGCAAGCAGTATGACATGTTCGCGCCCGATAGACATCATTGGAAATGGCATCCGATTGGGCATGGCTGAAGGTGGCAATCATGTATCGCTCTTCTTCTCCGGGCCTGGCTGGAAAAAAGTGACAAAAAACATCCAGCATGAGCTCCAAAATGATTGTCGTCTTGCCAGTGCCACCGGCGCCAATCAAAAGGCATGCGTGCTGCGCACGTTTTCGCAAAGGTATTTTGTTCTCTTCTTCCTGTAAAGCGACATCCATTGCCTCACCAAACAAGCAGACAATTGCTCCGGCATCTCCGGCGCCAGCTTGAATCCAGCGGCAGACTTTTCAAACGCAGCAACCTTCCGCGCCATCGCTGCAGATGGCTTGCTAAAGGTGCGCCATTCTGCTTCTGGCATCGCGACATCACTGTTTGCAGCCAACTCTCCTGCGCGCTCTGCGCAGTCGCTCGTAGCAGCCCGGTCCGCCGACAAGCGGCTGAGGCCCATGCTATCATTTGTCATGGCGGCGCGCTGAGCATCCAGTAGCGGCTGCGTGATCATGGGCACTTTCTCTTTCAACCTCAGTTGTTCTGCTCGTGGATTCACTGCAGTGCCACTCGCGCGCTTGTAGGCCGCAGTTCTACGCAACGCTTCTTCATCCCCTGTCAAGGGCAAAAGGCCCACAGAAATCATGTCGCGCACAAACTTGGTTTGCTTTTGACGATGAAAGGTCATGGCTTGCGAACGCTGCGATGAAGTCAGTGGATGATGGACTTTTAAAGGTGCATCTCCAGCCTTGAGTCGAACCTCCCCATCGATGTCTGGATCCAAAGCATCTTCGAAAGCTGGTTCAAAGGATTCGCCAGTATCTCCAGTCCCGTGGCCTTCACGCACTAATCCTGGATCTTCTTTTGCATCTGCGTCCAAAGCATACGACTTGGTTTTGGGTGCTGCCTTAGCACGTCCGTAAGCATCTAAGTTCTTGACTACTCTTTTTGTCAAGTAGCAAACATACTCTTGGACAGTCAAACGGTTCTGCAACTTTGCACTCGCATCGCAACCCAGTTTGTTCGTGCAATCCTTGTCCAATGGAATCAAGTATTTCTCTTGAGCCAATTCTTTTTGCAACTGGAATACTTCCAAGCACTCCCACAAAGTAGGTATTTCCATCCGTACTTCAATTTTTTTTTCAGCATCCGCAGCTTTGGGCAAAACAGTGTGCTGCCAGTAGTGTTTCCATGCTCTTGGAAAGGCATCATATGGATTTTCATGGTCTCCTCGTTTCATCTTTTTGGTTCCTTTCTCCACATCCAGAAAGATGGCCCTGTACGGGTCCTGCGGATTGCCTTTTTCATCCATGTCATTGCTTTGCCCCAAAGGCTTGAAGAGTAGCAACTTGATCAAACTCATCTTATGCGGATCGACATCTGGCGATGGAATATGCATACCTTCCAGCTGTGGGATCTTTGGAATTAAACTAAGACGCGGTGTCTTCACTAACGCAGATGGTTTGTAATCTGCATCGTAGTCGAAGGTAACCACATAGTCTCCCAAAGGATCTCGACTGGATTGCTTCCGTGCACCATAAACCCACATATTGTAGACATACGCTGGAAGTGCCTGCACACGCATTCACAAACAAAACATTATGATTTTATTTTAAGGTGTTTAGACTAAAACCACAAACAACAACGACACTTCTTAACTACTTTCAAGACCCTGCCTGCATGATGGGATGCTCTCCACAGTGCATGTAGTCTTCGTGATTCGATGTGAACTGCACATGAATGTTGGAGTTGTGATCAAAGCTGTCGATCTGAACGGCCTTCATGTCAGCAGCCATGCGATTCCGCAGCTTGTCGTTTTGCGCATATTGCAAGGCTTGTTGCAGCGATGTGAACCGTTGCCCGCCCGGACTGATGTAGATGTAGGCATGGTCTTCCCCAGTTTCTTGTTCTACTTGTTCCATGGTCGCAGCAGCATTGGCAGACAGGCTTTTATCATGCGGCTTCGGTTGTATGAGCCAGCCCACTGGTAATTCTTTAGCTCTTCCACTTTGCAGCGACGGCAGTAAAAAGCCAATGCTTTGGGACACTGAAGCCTTTTCGTGTAAAGCTTTCAAACTACCTTTGAAATGGTCTTGCCAGGCTGATAGAGTTTTGGCATACGCCACCTTCAAATTAGTCTCCCAGCAGCGATGCGTAGCGAAGGACATATGATCGAACAACATGGGAAACACCAACTCCGAGCCACTTTTGACCTGCAGTGAATTCATCAAGTGCACCAATTTCTTCAACACCAT